CTTTTAAGAAGAATTATTCCTTAGTTCTCTGGAAAGCCAGGAGTGGTATAGAAAAGTTTCATGGTCTCAACAGTCTCCTTTCTCTTTTCTTTATTTGTTTTCCCTACACAAAATTGCTACTTTTTAATAATCAATTAAATATTTTGAAATTGCTTTAAAATATTAATTAAAGCTTTCTTTAAAATATGTAGTAACAACCCAACATTTTCTTTGTATAAAGAACAGTTTGGGGCAAATATTGGTCTATTGGTGTTAATGTCTTTGTAAAATAGAACTCTTTTTAATTTTCAAATTAAAAATGCTACTTTTTATCTTTTTCCCCCCAAAGCTCTGGTTTGACAAATTTTAATTGCCTGTTTGGGATGATGTTCCTGATGCTCTCAAAAGTTAATTGTTTCTTTCCAGTAAAGATCAGAAACTTTGAACTCTATTTGTGAGATAAATGGTCTGGTGGCACTTTGGAACTTCATCTTATTGAAGTTACTGAGCATCTCACCAACTTACTCCCTGCATTTAGAATTGAATCTGAAGAGAATTGGACCCCAGACATTATGTTAGGGTGAGGGTGTAGGATTTATAGATTTAGTTCAGAGCAAAGTATTTTCCCAGAGATACAGCTCTGGTGACAGCTTCCAGATAAACATATAGATTGGTGGATTTTGAACCTAGATGGAGAGAAAAGGATAAATGGCACAATTTCTATAGATCAAGCTGCTCAATTAAAGGCAGGTTCTGGTAGTTATATTTTCTGGATAAGTGAGAGGTAACCTAAATACTTTGGGCTTCAGTTCCAGGATATGCTTTTGAAATGCCTGGGTCTGTTTTCCAGCCTTAGTGGGGAGAGTAACTATCAGATATTTCTGTTGACAGAGGGGTGCACAGGACCTTGGAGTCTTTAGGTTGTATATTTTCATGCTCTTACACTGAAAATAGGTGATGGAGAAAGAGCAAGAAACTGAGTAGGGTGTGTAGAGCCCAAGACATCTACAGGAAGTCATCTGATTTAGTTTACAGCTCTGGGTGCAGCATGTTTTGTAATCATTTTCTTCTTTTAAAAGAAAGGGGAAATTTGGTTTAATTGTGTTCTGGTTCATCAAGATAAGATAATAGATAGATAAATATTGCCAAGAGGCAAAAGATGTCTTATCTAGCAGGTTGAAAATTGTGATAACTTAAGGGCTTTGATGCAAATCATTCAAATCACCTCAGTCTTCCTTATAAGTTTTCTACAGGATACTGAACAGGATGTACATGGGTCAAATGTCAGTGAAAGAAATGTTTGCCTAAGAAATGAAATAATTTAATTCGATGTCATCACCAAGGGCTGCACATCAAAACGTTTGGCAATTACAATTTGACTTAATACAAAAAAATTTTCTTTCTTCAGAGGTTTCCAGTCATTTGGGAGTTTGAAATTCTGGGAAGGTTTTTGATATCTTGCCAGAAGAGTTTGCAGGAAGATCATAACTGTTCCAAACCTGACAACCCTTGAAAAGTTTTTTTGTGCATTCTCATTCTACTCCATCTACTGGTACTTGAGTGGGACCTCCAATGGTGAGTTGGTAACAGAAAAAGGCTCCAATTGCTTTCCTCATACCTCCCTTTGTATTCAGTCTCTAACCATTTAGCAGACATGGGCAACCTCCAAGAAGGTAAGGGGCAGCCATTAGTTGAAAGGAAAGCCAGGTTGTATAAATTTTTCAGGTGACAAGACTAAGAATAAGATGGGAAACATGCTAGGCTCCGTTTGCCAGGAATCTTTTAATAATTATTCTAGGATGAGACAATCAGCACTGACTTTTGAGGGCAGAGCCCAGATTAAGTGACAAACAGGCCACTCAATTTAGATGCTGAGTAGTCTTCAAGTGTGAGAGAGAAATTGTCATCAATTTTAGTTCCATAGGTCCAAACACAGTACTAATGAAGGCAAGGTCATGAATTTGATCACAATCTCTATCACTAAGCTTAATACCACTTAAAAAACAAATCTTCCCACAGCCATAGAGTAATCAATTTTTATTCAAATAGCTCCTCAATTTATTATACTGGGCTCATGAGAGACTGAAGGATAGACTATATTTTTATTATTAATATCTCCTCAATATTAGACAAACAAAATGCATCCTGCAGCTCATTAGGAATAATAGATTAATATAATTATATTACATAATTAATGTATAATTAATATACATTTATCAATATTTAATATTTAACAGCACAATCAGTGTGTTTTATAGATTTCTAAGAACAACAGGGGCTTTTAAACGGCATAACAGTCACCTGTCTACTTCTATGCAAAACCAGTTCATTCTCCCCGCTGCAGCCTCCTATCATCTTTCTAGATATTAACTGTGAATAACCCATGTATAAATAATTGAGAGTTAAATATATACCATTTAAATAAATGTAAGATATTTTCATACTAACTTAAAATATAACAGTCTTCGGGGCACTGTTTCACCTAGCCATATGTCTCTCATCTTCATGCATGTCTCTCTGTGGAGATCATTATTTGAATTTTCACTTGAAACAGTGGAGGCAATCAAAGTCTCAGGATAAATGAAGGCAGAACTAGCATTAGATCTCTTAAGCTCTGAGGACACTCCTGTGAAGGCAGGTCACCATCTTCTCCATCTCTTATATGTGTTTGTCACTTCACAAGTGGCATTTGCTTTCATATCTATGGATTTACAGTTCTTGTGTACTTAGCCTGAGATGCTGAACAGGGTAGAGAAGAAGAAACAGGGATAGCTAACCTGTATAGGGAAGTGGGGGAGTTTTGGAATCTTCTTTGCTAAAGACTTTTCAGGACAAGTGGCTCTCCCATTTCAGAGATGGTTAGAGATACTCTATCCCTTAGCAAACACCTTCTCTAGCTTTTCCAACAATGGAGGAAAATGTAATAGATTCCTCATACTCTGAGAAGTATTAAGGTTTATTTTGGTTGTGTCTTTTTTTGTTGTTTTGTTTTTGCTGGGTTTTTTTGTGTGTGTGTGTTTGGTTTTTTGTTATTTTTTTTTTTTTTTTGAGAGAAATCAGAGAATCCTAGCATGTTAAAGCTGGGAGAGCTCATAGAGATCACTTAATTTAACCAGATTGCAAATAAAAATTTAGGCAAATAAGGGGAAGAAACTTCTCCGGAGACATAGCCAGTGAATAGCAGAAGCTTCAAGGAAGGGATTCGGAAAGAGAAGACAAAGGTAGTCCCATGAAGGAACACATATACATTAAGGGGTGGCTGGCATATAAACAGCAATGTCTAGGGGAGAGGCAGGTGGAAAAAAGAGAGGTTATTCTTTACTATGGAACAGCTAAAGAGTTCCATTCACACATTCATTCAACAAATAATTCTTGAGCACCTTTCATGTACCAGACACTATTTTATGTTTGGGGCATATACCAGCAACCTAAACAGGCAAAACTCCCTGACTTCATTAAGCATATATTTTAGTTGAAACAATCAATTATATGTAATTAATAGATAAAAATATACAATGTGCTAGAAGTAATAATTCTAAGGAGAAAAATAATGTAAGAAATAAAGATATGAAATGCCAGGGACTAGAGATGAACTTTTAGGCAGGGTGGTCAAAGAAGGACTCATTGAAAAGATGCCTTGTGAGTAAAGACCCGAGGTAAGTGAGAAGGTAAGTCATGCAAGGATCTGGGTTTCATAAATATGGAGCAGCAAGATAAAAAAGATCAAAGCTCTGAGACAGAGATGAGCTGAATATTTAAGAAACAGTAAGCAGGCCAGTGTGACTTGAGCCAAGTGAGCAAGAAAAAGAGTGGTAGGAATGGGGTTATGGGAACATAAACCACATGATGCCTAATAGGTCATTATAAGGAGATTAGTGTTTAATCAGGTTAAAATGGGAAGCTACTGACATTTTGTAATAGAAGAGTGACAAGATCTGACTTACAGTTAAACTGAATCATGTAAACTGAATGGGGGCAGAGACAGAAACAAGAAAATCAATAAGGAAATTACTGACAAAAGTCAGATGAGAGATGAGTAATGATGATTATTTCAAATAAAGGATAGCAGTCGAAATGGCAAGAGGAATAGTTAGATTTTTTCATATATGTGACTGTCTAGGACTTTATATGTTCATTTATTCATTCTGTCCTCAATAAATTTACATTTGAGTGAGAGACAAAAGAATAAACAAGTAATCAAATCATTAATGTAATTTCAGATATCGGAATATGCTATAAAAATCAAACAGACTGAGGAGAGAGTGGAGAGGGTAGAAAAAGAGAGTCTTTAAAGTTAGGCTGGTTACTAAAGCCCTCTATTTGTCATCCATACTTTTAGAAACATCTCATCAGATTTTCACAGCTCAAACTGAGGCTCAGCAAACACAGAACAGAAATACACAGAAGTTGGAAGTGTAACTTCAACCACTGGTATTAGCAGAGGGTTTTCACAGACCTCAAGGGTGCCATGAGATACTCCATTTACATACTATTAATTCAAATCAAAGAAGTACTTTGCAGCACTCTATGCCAAGCCATGGTAGATACTAGCACAATGGGAAAATGGAGGCCTGAACAATCTGAGTGACAGACAAACACAAGAATAGGCAATTTTATCCAAGACTGTCAGAGGTCACCTCTTGGTGGATATTAATAACTCAAGGTGACTGATGAATTAGATTTGTCTTGTAAAATGAAGAACAAGTGAGAGAAAAATGAAGATGGCCTCCTTTTCCTTTCTTCTTCCTTGGAAAAACTGATACAAGAAGTCATCTGTAGTAAGAAGTTGAAGAACTTTTCATACAACTTATTTCAAAATGGTGGGGAATTTGCTATTTTCCAGAGGAGGGGAAGATTTTTAGCTTTGCCTCTGTTCTCATTATACTTGTCCCATTTGTATTTCATATCTTTTGAAAAGGAAGAAGAGAATGATTCTGTACACCCCAATTATTTCCTCCTTTCTCACAGCATCCCTCCATCTTTACTCTCATCCTTTCAGGTAAAATTAGGCAGTGGGAAGAATGGCCATGAACAATGCTACAACAGTGTTTGAGTTTTTCCTTATTGGAATCTCTAACTATCCTGAGTGGCGAGTCACATTTTTCACATTGGTGCTAATAACTTACCTCACCATATTGTTGGGGAATGGATTTATCATCATTCTTATCCACATTGACCCACGCCTCCACACTCCAATGTACTTCTTTCTTAGTAACTTGTCTTTCTTAGACCTTTGCTATGGAACAGTCTCCATGCCCCAGACCTTGTTGCATTGTTTTTCTACACATCCCTACCTTTCTTATCCAAGATGTTTGACCCAAATGAGTGTCTCCTTGTTCTTGGCCACAGCAGAGTGCCTCTTACTGGCTGTGATGGCCTATGACCGTGTGGTTGCTATCAGCAATCCCCTACGCTACTTTATGGTCATGAATGGTCCAGTGTGTGTCTGGCTGGCTGCCACCTCATGGGGGGCATCACTTGTGCTCACTGCCATGCTCATCTTATCCCTGCATCTGCACTTCTGTGGGGTTAATGTCATCAACCACTTTGTCTGTGAGATTGTCTCCCTGCTCAAGCTGGCTTGTTCTGATACCAGCCTCAACGAGCATATGATCCTCATCACAGGTATCTTCACCTTGCTCCTACCCTTTGGGTTTGTTCTTCTCTCCTATGTCCAAATTGCCACTGCTGTCTTAAAGATTCGCTCAGCCCAGGGTAGACACAAGGCTTTGTCTACCTGTGGTTCTCATTTGACTGTAGTGTCAATCTTCTATGGCACAGCCATCTCCACATACATGAAACATCAATCCAAGTCATCCCCTAACCTAGACAAGTTTATCTCAGTGTTTTATGGGGCTGTGACACCCATGCTGAACCCTCTAATATACAGCCTGAGGAACAAAGACGTTAAAGAGGCAATGAGAAAAGTTATGGCAAAAAGAGAATAAGTTTTTCTTTGCTTCTAAACTTCTAAAATAATACTCAGCTACATCTCCACTGAAGATAAAAATGTTTAAAGTGTCTGACTTTACCCTTAGTAGAGTGGGTGATTGTCATATGAGAAGCTTCAGGAAATATTCTTACCCCAAAATATTATCCCTCCTGAGACTTGAATTTCTGTTACAGACATTACTTTTACTTTTTCTTTACATATGACACATTAGTGGTCACACATAAAGTTACTCAACTTCAGGCAACTAATCTTATCAGAATCATTTTCTCAGACACAGAAGAGACCTAAGCAGCAAGAGAATCTCTTATGACTATTATCAGGAGACAAGAGATAACTGAAATTTAAAAAAAAAAAAAAGGACAAAAATTGGTATAATAAAAAGCCAGATGACAAATATCAGAAATTGTCCAACTTTACTGAGGGCAAGTCCTGTTGTGAAAGCATAATTTCCTTGCTCCACTTAACCTCAAAATCATGAGAAAATTGTATCACAGACATTTCCTAAATTTGTGTGGAACATTTTTCTAAATTTCTTTCAAATCTATCATTTTGTTTTATGTTCCTAATACATCTATGAAATTAGTAAGAGAGACACCAAAATTCTCCCCATGTTAATGATGGCAAAACCGAGACCCAAAGGAGTTGAGAATTTTCTAAAGTTATACATAGTTGGTAGTGGAATAAAAATTAAAATGCAGATGACATATATGCCACCACTGAGCTTTTTCAAATTGGAATCATAGAATTATTAATGCAGTTAACATTTATTGAGTACTTATCACATATAATTCTCACAACAATTTGATGAAGTAGTGCTATTATCAACAATATTAGGTGTGAGGAAACTGAGGCTCCTGAAGGTTAAGTGATCTTCCCATAGCCACAAAACCTGTAGATAGTAGAGCCTGTATTTAAATCTAGGCCTGGCTGACTGCAGATCCCATTCATTGTATCCAAACTACAGAGACCTTGGAAATTATTTAATGCAGTGATTTTAATCAATTTTGTCATGGTATAATTTATGTACAATGACTTTTATCCAATTACAGTGTGTAAGTTTGTGCATTTTGACAGATGCTCACAGCATCAACACCACAATCAAGCTACTTGATAATTCCATCAAATACAAAAGTTTCTTTGTTCCCTTTTGTAGTTCACCCCCTTCTTTCATTCCCAATCCCTGGCAACCACTGATCTGATTTTTTTTTTTTACTATATGTTAGTTTTGATTTTGTAGAATTGACTATAAATGGAATCATACAGTATGTACTTTTTGTGTATGTTTTCTCTTAGCATGCTTTTGAGGTTCATCCATGTTGTTGCATGCATCAGTAGTTTGTTACTTTTTATTGCTGAATAATATTCCATTGTACACTTTTACCACATTAAAAAAAATCCATTTCTTGTTGATGTACATAATGCAGTGGTTTTTAAACTTTAGTTTACATGGCTCAGTTATGGTACAATGAACATGTCAATGGAGGTAAAATTTTCTGTGAACAATTTCATTTGAAAATGAGTTCTAAAACCGAAAGAAAAGGTTTTGGCAAACAAGAATCTACTACATATCTCTCATCTTAAATGAAGATTCAGAGGCTCAGTGAATAGGGTATAAGTTTCCCAGGATCATGAACATTTTGGAAGCAGATTTACAGCTAAATTCCAGGTGTCCGTTCTCCTGGTCTCACTTTACTTTGGTTAATTCCAACAAACATAATGAAGTCATCTCCAAAACAGCTTGATGGAGAACCAGAGACAGATAAGTAGGAAAAAACTGATGTGCAGCACCTAGATGTGAAGCAAGGCACTATTGAACAAGCGTATATCCAGTTCATTACTCAGCCCCTGACTGCTGGGAATAGATGTGACATTTTGTGGTGTAGCAAAAGGAGTATCAGACATACAAGAGACTTGTCTCACATGCTTACTAACTAAACGAAAGAAAAAAATGAGAATGAATAAACCACTTATCAAAATAGCCTGATTTTCAAATAAACGTAACATTTATTCAAGTTCTATCTATAATACATTATTTTTAAAGATTATTGCATCCTCAGACATTGAAACTATGCTTTAATATCAAGACACAAAAAATATTTAGGAAAAAGCAAAATGACTTCAGTCTTTGATTTATTTATTCAACAAATATTAACTTTCTACTTTCAGCCAGGCACTGTGCTAGTTGCTAGGGCAAGTTTTAGCCTTAATGCAAAATTGAAATAAACATTTCAAATTAACAATGTGAAAGAAATAAAAGAGAAAAAACTCATGGACTTGGACAACAGTGTGGTGATTTCTGGGGATGGGGGAGCTGATGGATAGAGGTGGAGGAGGGTATGGGGGGATAAATGGTGATGGACAGAGACTTGACTTGGGGTGGTGATCACACAATACAGGGTACAGATGATGTGTAGTAGAATTGTGTACCTGAAACCTGTATAATTTTTTTCACCAGTGTCACCCGAATAAATTCAATAAAAAAATTTAGGAAAAAAGTAACATTGTGAAATTGGTAAGATTAATAAAATTGTAGAGAAAAAAATAATAGAGCCTTCAGGTAGAGAGAAATTCAGAAATTAGGGGGAATGCTAAGAGTACTCATTTTAATGACCCTGAATTTGGGGGCAAAAATATTCCATTCTCTGTTACAGGTCTGTTAACAGCTTAAAATGAGAATCATGTTTTCTATAATGGTGCCCACATCACAAAATGGTAGTTCTGTCATTAGGTGCTTTGTCTCTTTATTGAATTGGTACAGGCACAGCCTACAGAGAGTGACACAGTGAGAGTCTAAAGATGGGGGCTGTGAAATTGATTCTGCAACTAACTATGTATGTCGCCTTAGTTATATCACTGTATGGGCCTCAAATTTCTTCATCAAAATAATAATAAGGTTGAGTTTTGTTACCTAAGAACCTCTCTAGTTCTAACATTCTATGTCTAGGTGTTATTTTATATAAATTTTCTTTCTTTTCTTAACAACTAGAATCATATGATTAATTTACTCTGCAACTTTCTTTTTCCACTTGACAATATATTATGGACATTCCTCCAAATCAATATTTATAGATCCAACTGCCTGACTTTAAATGTTAGCTTTGATTGAAAAAGTAGGTGCACATAGCAGCTAGTTAGCACAGCTATGTCCCTACCAGCACTAACATTCTGTTTCTAGGCATTTAAACCCCAAAGGCCATCTAATTCAATACTGATATTAAGCTATTTTAAATATAAGCTCTTTGTGGGTGTTTTGAAATAAAATCAATTCTGGATTGTTGAAAACTCCTAAGGTTGAATATCACTTCTCCACATGATCAATCACAGCCAACACAACATTCCACTGTGCACCCTGCATCTCAGGCAGCTGGGAAGTGAAGTTTACCTTGCTTCACTCTGGAAAGCAAATAAAGATTGGTTTGAAACTAAGATAACTTTCTCAGAAATTGAGGAGAAAGCTTGCAACTGTAAAATAGGCTTCAAATAATATTTTCTAATGGGGATTTAAGGAAAAAATGACACCATGTCCCATTCATAGGATTTGAGATTTCAGTTGAAGAGAGGCAGTGGAGTATAGCTAGTCACTGTCTATGCTTTGATCTCTATACCTAGGTAGGCTAATAATAGTACTTACCTGGGTAATCAGGTTTGATCGTGTTGGTATTGACAGAAACCATCCTAGTTATTTCAGGTAGGAATTAGAGGCCTACAAAAATTGTTTTAAAGGCTATGAGAGGGATGGTAAGGGAATATTGCCAATAACCTCATACAGTTGCAAGAATTTCAGGAATCTTGGGACGTTTTAGGGATATTATGAAACTGCTACCAATGATGTCACTGAAGCAAGTGTTTTTTGGGAGAATGCTCTGATACTGCTTAAAACTCTGTTTGACAAAGTCTACACACCTAAACATGATGTCAAGAGGAGCAAAACTGGTGTCTACTTCTGTTGCGCTTGCCAAGTTTCCTGCAAGTACCTCTTACGGGTGAAATCCAAAACTGAACTTTACTGACAAGGGAGTTTGAGAAAGGTAGTTTCTAAGTTTTACAGGTGAAAGCTGAAAAGGTGTTGAATATGACTTCATCGATTGGTTAAGAAAATTATATGGCTCAATTCATGTAAAGCATTTAGAAAAGTGCCTAGCCTATAAAGAACAATAAATGTTAGTTGTCAGTATAATGTCTAGATCACATGAGCTTAAAATGCCAGAAGTTGAAGTGCCCACTTGCTTCCTAAATAGCACATTCCAAGGCTGCTCCTTCACTGGTGCATTCAAGCATCCATAAATATGTCACTCATTCAGTACTTATTTATAATCTCCTACCATACAGCATGTGCTATGCTATTGCCAGGATGCAGTGGCAAAGGAAGTGTATTTATTTCCTACCCTCAAAGAATTGACTGCCTCTGTGGGAAGAAAGATGTACACAGGCAACATTACTGTGTGGGTTTATAAAGTTTATAAAGCGCTTTACACACTTTACAATTTATCTTATTCTTTAACATATAGTATCTCAAGTCATTTAAATAATGAGATAAGCAAACAGGCATTATTATCTATATTATAAAATTCACATTTACAGATGATGAAAAGATTTAGAGAGGCTGTAATATTATTAAGGTCAATAGTTATTGACAGGACTAGGATTAGAAACACAATTCTCCTAGAGTTATTGTGATCATTTTGAAATGTATGTAAATATCTAATCATAATGTTGTATACCTGAAATCAGTGTAATGTTATATGTCAAATATACATCAATTTAAATTTAAATTAAATTAAAATTTTTAAAAATAATAAATTCTGATGCCTAGATGCTCTTTTTGTTGGGAGCCTGATTGATTCAGGAAGTCCTTGGAAAAGAGGAGTAGGAAGAAGGCAAGATTGTTGCTGAGGAGAGAAAAGAAAAAAACACTGTTTTTAGATTATCTAGTTAAAAACCTCACACTGACACTTAGGAGTTATATGACCTTGGGCAACTTTCTGTCTCAATTTC